GCTAAGCCCTGGCTGCTTTCACCGCTAAGGGTGTTGGTAGGTTGACATTGACAGATTAATGGGAGAACAACTCCCCAGGAGCCACTTGAAAGAGGAGGAGCTGAAGGTTTCACAAGCTGGATAGGCTGAATAAATAGGTAGTGGATAAACAGGAGTCATGCAAATATACCCAGGTCGTGTGGAAAACAAAATGCAAATCAAGCCAGCCTTGGCAGACAGCTGAATCATCACTGAGGGCTAACATTTGCAAAGAGCTGCAGGGAGCAAAGTGCTGTGTTGTGGATTGTGCAGGGCCGGTTTCTGAGGGGAAAAAAACCTTCTTTGGCTCATGGGGCCTTCTCTTGTTTTGGTTTTTGAACTTGACCACAATCAAGGAAGATGCCACAGAACTTTTCTGCAATGTTGGAAATGTCCTATATCTGCATGGTCCAATACGGCAGCCACGGACCACCTGTGCTACTATGCATGTGAAATGCAACTAGTGATACTAAGGAACTGAATTTTAAATTGTTTTTTAGTTAATTTAAAGTTAAAGAGGCACCCATGGCTGGTGGCCACCTGATTGGACAGCACAGTTCTAGACTTTTGCTGCCCTTATGTGTGGATGGACAATCTGACTTTTTAAGCCACTACAGGTTACTTGAAGAGGCTTTATTTTTCATTTTAACTTCCAAAGCATCTGTGGATTATCACAGACAAAACAATTAAGATGTTTGTGTTGGGTAACCACCCTCACACAAGTTTACCTTGCTTTCTGGGAGATTCAGGTGATCTCACTGCTGTAAACATCCCACTGGGCCAGGCCTGGGGCAGAGCCAGCTGCCAGCTGGTGTCAGGTTAACTGCCTCTTTCCAATGCAACATTGGGTCCTTGTGACCTGGAATCTAAATAGTTGCCCTGTTGCTGGTGGTGAGGCGGACAACGATTCTATTCTTATTATCAGAGCAAATGGTGCTCTCAAAAAACTAGACCTGATCTCCACCTTTTTTGTCAATAGAGTAAATGCAGTGACAACATGTTCAGTCTTTGAGGTTTGTGCATTTCAAACTGTCCCTTCCAGCAAGGATGCAGGATCTTGCAAGACAAGACAGGCCCATGATGTCTCTCTTTATGGAAGGCTGTTGGCCCCCATGTCCTGGGATAGTCATTTTCACCATTTTCTAGGGGGAAATTCTGTCCCTTTTCTGTGAAGGTTTGATAGGGTGAAGTATCCTGCTGCCCCGTCAATCATGGCAGGCTCCTCCAGGCCAGCAGCTGTTTCCTGCTCACATTGAGAGACTGCTTTGCTTTTTAGTCTACTAAACCATCCAACTTCTACTTGGTTATGTGGAGCTGCTGTTTATTTCGCTATTAAATTCTAACCTGATTAAACAGTGCACAAGGTTGTATGTAACTTTGAAAAGGTTCTAAAATTAAGTTGCTACTTTAGGTTGGCTTCTTGAAATGTGGTCTGGGCTGAGACAAAAGAAGGTATTCTAGAAGATTCAGAACCTGCTCCACCACTGATATCTGCTGGAGCATCATTTGCTAGAATAGTCGGACACCAAGGCAATTTATAATGTAGTCTAATGTTAGCGTGACATGAGTCTCACTCGCTCTCACAGTGATCCCATGAGATAAGCATTAGCGATAAGTATCTCCTTGATGGGAAACTGAAGTGCTTAGAAGGAAAGTGGTTTGCCTGCGTACACACTCTAATGGGGACAGAGCTGGCCCTCAATGATAAGCATTCTTTCTACTATACCACATCACTAACTGAATGTGTTCAGGAGGTACCACTTTAAAGAACATCTGATCCAGGCTCAGTAGTTACTGCTTTATCCTGGATTTAGATTCAACACAACCTCTGCCTGAGGAGCAGTTAAAGCCACTGGTTATAGTGAGGAGGTCATGCCATGTTAACTGTGCATTTGGTGATATGCTCACCTTTAGGCAGGTGTCTGGGAGTGACAGCCTGATACTGGATCTGCTTGGTGGTAACTGCCTTGCTTATTCTAGGCCCATCAGAATTGTGATCATGTGAGACTGGCTTAAGGGATAAACAGGTGATGGACATTGCAATACAGGTGTTGAAACTTGGTGGTGGTTCACTTCACATACAGACCGTACTGTAAAGTTCCATGGGTGAAACAATCCACTTTCCTACTCCCCACTCAATCAGGAATGAACTTGCCTTCACAAATCGGAGGCAAAACACCCCAGAGGTTTCAGCCCCAGGAATCTCTAGAAGGAATTGGGTTAACTTTGCTCTGTCACATTGAGCTTTGTCTTCCTCCTGCCTTTTTCTGATTGGTCAGGTGACCAGGCACCTTTTGCAACTCTAGTGCCTGAAGTGACAGCCGACGTACTGAGCTCTGGAAGCTCCACCAGGCTGGCCTGGGATCTCCTTTGGGAGCTGCCAGCTTTCTTATTCACAGCCTCCTCTGGCGGATGAGCTCCGGTACCTCCCTGGCCCTGAGGATCCTACCGGAGGAGGTTTAATAAGTTCTGCATTCCCTCAGGATTTGAGACAGAGCAGGGCAGGCCCAGACTGTGAAGGTTAAAGAACAACCAGATTTTCATAGGAATTTGGGCAGGGGTTCAAGGCTGGGAGGGGCAAACTCCAAACCAACCCATGATTTCCAGGGCTGAAGATTTCACGTATCGGGTTTGAGCGTCACAAGGCATCTCTGGCTTCATTTGCACCAAGCAAAAGTGGAAGGCTTGAGCCGGGAGAGGTCAGCATAATGAGCACACAGGTCAAATAGCCCTTGGGAGTGGTGTATTCAGTGACATTTTCTCACCCTGCCCTCCTGCCCTTTTGTGTCCAGAGGCAAATCCTCCAGTATCCCCCAAAGAATATCTGTAATACGGAGAGCAAAGCAGGGGTGAATTTTACTATAGAAAATTCTGATTTTGTCACTCTTCTTAATAGAGAAGATGTGACTTTGAAGGCACTTGTACAAAGGCCCAAACCCTTAGGACATTATGATCTAGAAGAAATCGAGATGATGTAAGCAACATTGTTTTGAGTTCTCTGACATACTGGGTACAGTGACATAGTGCAGATGTGAAAAATCCCGTCCATGTTTATAAACTGCCAGATTTATGCATTTATTATATGTTTTTGTCCTTATTTCATAATCACTTTGATATGTACAACCATGTCCTTTGTTAGATGTGGTCTGAGTGTTTTGCAATGACGATTTAAAGAAAGCATAATTTTTATAGTGCGAAGAAGAAAACTATAGGAATCCGTCACCAGCTTGTCCCCCTGACGAAGTTTGAGAGGAGCATGAGACTTTAAGACCTAGAATCTCCCAATTACATGACCATCACCAAACAAAGTGACCGTGGCCATGCAGGTGAGTCTTTGCATGACAATAGAAGAACACAGCTGCCCATTTGTTTAGTAATCTCAACCTAAGAAGGTTACTACGTGCTACTGTTTGACTTAATTTTTTAATCTATTCTTGATTTTTGTTTCTAAGTGCAAAAATGTGAGAATTTATCTTAATGCTAGCAGTGTGTTGTTCTAGCCAAACTAGATTTAATTTTTGGATTAATTTCGCTCCCTAAGTTTAATCAGCAGCAGGCACTGTGTTTAGTCCTTTACTAACAGGAAAAGATCCAGGCAACAAGTTCTTGGTGCTGCCAGTATCGTAAGAGAGTCTCTTTCACCTTCAGACTTGAGGTGGAATATTTTATTGTGTGACTTTATGTTCCTTAATAGGGAGCACAGATCTCTCCTGGGGATATATCTACATCCATAAACATCTATCATTGATGTTTTAAAGGTGTCCTTTGAACATTAAATAACTGCAGTATGAACATCCTAGATTAAAGAAGAAATCCCAATGAGAACTTGATTGATATCAGGTATCCAGGATCTAGCTCAGGGATGCACGCCACTGATAGAAAAGAGATAGTCTATTCTCTAGAGTATATTTTAGGCATAAAATATTAAATAAGAATTCATAAAAGGCATATTACTCATCTTAAATCAATTCTCCATGCTAACAACTGGCATTGAATGCAGCATGTGGTATTTAGAGCTTACACAAGATAAGTAAAATTCTTATACAGATAAGATCTTCAACATGAAATATGATCATATAGCTCTGTATTTCAGAGCACCCTCCCCGGGGTCAGACTGCTTGAATGGAAATCCTTACTCCACCACATACTGGCTGTGAAATTGTAGGTAAAGTTTCATAACTTTTCTAAGGCTCAGTTTTCTTATCTGTGAAATGAGGTAATATACAGAGAATTATGAGGACGACATAAGCTAATGTGTATAAAGTGCTTAGCACAGTGCTGGAACATTGCAAGCACTCAAATAATGTTGACAACAGCCACTTTTACCATCATTATCATATTGCTATGAGGTGGTCTTATTATTTGTTATCATCCAGACAAACATGTTTGAATGATTTCTAGTTATTACATGATGCATTTATGACTGCATTTTACTCTATTTAAAATAAAAACTAGACTAAGCGATACAATGGGCTAGGCTCTAAGCCCATATGTAATGATACATCTATATACCTGTATCTATCTGCATCTGTATTTGTATAGACAGAGCAGACGGACAGAGGTATAGGTATATAGTAACAGGTATGCATTAGAAGGCTCAGCTCCTTCAAGTCCAAAGAGCTGCAGCATTTCTCATTTGGATGTGCCTTGAGGACCATCTTCACCAGGGCCTTTATCTACAGGTCAGAAGAGTGAGACCCAACCAGGGTGAGGAGGGACACCACTCAGCGGAGGGGTTACGGGAGTAGTACCCAGAGTGGGTGGCTCCTGCCCCTGCCACTCTCTGACCTTTAGGATTCTCCTCCATCCCTTTTTTAAGTCAGTTTTTTCCTAAGACAGACAGACAGACAGACAGACAGACACACACACACACACACACACACACACACACACACACACACACACACACACATACACACACACACACATACACACAGACAGACAGACAGAAGCAGGAGAATGCCTCCCAGAGTTCTAAGTACCTGTTTGAAAGAAGATCCGCTTGAAAATTGGGATCTCTCAAAATTTGTCTCTTGCCCCCCAAACTGATCTCGTTTCTTCTCATTTGGGTCTCTTCTGTAGTCCTGTCGCCTTAGACAAGCCTGGAGAACAAAGACTGCTTCTTTGGCTTAGGTCTACAACTAGCTTTGATAACTTTATGCTTAATTCCTGTTGTGAGGAATGTGAAATACAAGATGTACATCTCCCAGGTTCACCAACACCTTTACCAAGCGTGAGGGCACCCACCCAGGCATCCGTTCCTCCTCCCTTTGCCCCAAATGCCAGGCCAATATTATCAGTCACTGCTTTAGTAAATTCAAACAACACACACTAGGAGGCATTCTGACAAGTATTTATCCAGCAAATTGCCACCTCAAGGAAGGCAGTTCCCATTGCTCTGTATTAACTTCTCTCTCCTCTTTCATTCTCATCACAGCTCCCCCTCACACTACCTCCATCCTCCCTGTCCCCTGGGATCATGCAATACCTACGCCATAAAGGATTTTCATACACGAGAGCTTTAGCATGTGCTGTTCCTTCCACTTGGTGTGCCTTTCACAAGATGTTGCTTGGCAAATCCTGCTGCCTACCACAAACCAGCTCACGTGGCCTCTCTCCTCTTTTCCCTGCCTTGTTACTCTCCCCCAGGCTGAATTAATTGCTTCTTTATACATACATAGCTTGAATTGTATGATTTTTTTGCCACTGTATTTCATTTTTTATTTTGGAGCCTGTTTCTCCTGCTGATCAGTGAGACCCCTGTGGGTAAGGACCACCTCTTATCTTTTGAATCCCCCAGCATCTAGCACTTAATGTCAGCTGAACTGCATTTTTGTTTTGGAGGGAAACATCAAATCCCAAATGCCAAATAATAAAAATAAAATAACCATGCAAAACAATGTTCCCTTTTTTTTTTATACTGAAAATCTAATGCCAAAATTTTTATCCTCCAGTGTCAGGACTGAATCCAAAGGATATCATGTGCTTTTGGGGTTTCAACTGATATTTCAAATATTCCTGAATAGTCAAACTTCTTGGAGCATTTCTATAGCTCCAGTGACCAAATTCGCCTTTGGCCTGCCAGAGCCAAATTATCTGCTGCGATAGCAAAGAAATGCAGTAGAAAGACCTACAATATTGTTCCTGAATGAGGTCTGGCATGCCCCTTTCCTTCGCTGGGTTGAGAAAGGAGAGCTTCCTCCTGCATCTTCCTCCTCTGTTGGAAAATGCACCTCCTTCCTGATGTAGAAGGACTTGCCAGAATCTCATAGGAAAATGGGAATAGCTACGGGAAAAGCCTAATAACTACACGACAAGGTTAAGAATAGCAATGACCTGATACTAGCAAAGCATTTACCACTTGAAACTGGGAACAGAGTCAGTTTTATACTGTGCTTTACAACTGAATTGCAGGTGAAGCCCTGGCCTCGGTGGTACCTGCAGCAGATGAGCAGATGGAATCCTGTATTCCCAGGAGAAAGGTGCAGTCCCCCCGCCCCCCCCACACCGCCCTGCTTGGAAAGGGAGAGCACTCCAACATAGTTGACGTTCTTTTTTTTCCTACAGCTAATCTTATTTCCAAAAACTATGCCCTATAGAGAGCAAGCCATTTTAATAAATCCTGGGCAGTGTTTTAAAAAAAATAAACAAGAACTCCCACCCCCCACAAATACTGTACAGTAACAATTATAAGTTAAACAAACAAATACCGAATAATAAAAAATAACAAGGTAAACCTAGAGTAAGGGAAAGAGAGTCAGCTGGAGAGTTTGATGAAGCTCAGCTAAGGGCCAACCCCCTCTTCTCCATTCCTCTTCCAGTGACTGCAGATCGGAGCTCCTATCTGGGAGGAGCCCGGGAGGGCTGCTGTGTCCTGGGGGAGCAGATCTGTGTTTTCCCCTTGCCCACTGGTATTAAGGCTCAAGGGGAAAGTGCTGATGGGCTGAACGTGAAGGAGCCAGCGTTAGCAAATGCGCACAGGACCAAGGCAGATTTTGTGGGATGAACAGAATTCTTGTGGACTGAGTGTTTTTTGAAAATTCTCTCCAAGAATGCATGCGACTTAAATATTTCTTTACCAAAAGGCGGGGGGAGGATTAGAAAGGTTTGCAATGTTGAAAAAAGAACTCTGTTGTCTCTGGTTCCCTGTCTCTCCCTTCACAGGGGGGCAGGGCTACCCAGGGACAAGGTAGGCACTTCCTAATTTTTATCTTGATACAGCCAAGCAATCTTTCCATGTAAAACAAACATGAGGGCTCTTGAAGTTCCAGCTTTGCTGAGGAGAAGGAAGGCGGGGACAGAGCCAAGCCCCAGCCTTGCAGTCCTAGAAACAGTGAGAATCCAGCCATACATCCCCCAGGCGGCTGGGTTTCTTGTTATCTGCAAATGTGAGGCTTTTTTGTTGTTTTGGATGCTGTTTGTTTCTGCTTTGGGGGTCCTGAAGTGACAGGGACAGAGGAGTAGAAAATCCATAGGACGCAGACGAGGAATGGATTTGTAATTCATAGTCACCAGGGGCTCGTCTTACCCTGGAACTTTGAAAACATTCTCCTTTGAATTGCACGTGTCTGGAGCCGGATTGCTATAAATAAGTTTCTGTTCATGTGGCAGAACTGGCTGAGGGCAGCCGGAAAACTGAAGGCTTCAGGTACCTTCTGCCTTCTTCCCTCCGGTGAGAATCTGGGCTTCCCCCTCTCTCCTCCCTGGTGTGGCGCCACCTGCCAGCCCATCCCTCTGACTGCAGAGCACACAGTCAGGCTGCCTTCTGGGCAGAAGCCACGCTGTGGGGGCAGAACACAGAACGTGCATATATGCCTGTGGGGGATGACGTGGGCTCTGTGACTCACTGTAACTCGATACTGGTAAACACCACCAACCCCGGCTCTGCCACCCTCTAGCATCCTGACCTTGGGCAAGCTGACTAACTCCACGGATTCTTGCTTCTCTCATCTGTGAGATGTGTCCCTGTGCTGCAGGATGCTTGGGAAGCAGGAGACACTGCTGGGAACACGCGGAGTTGAGCCACGGGTTCGGGACCAGTGTTCAGTAAAAGGCACTCACTGTGACCACCACCACCCCTATAGTTGCCATCATTAGGCTTCATCGTCATTTCCAATCCCATTTCATGCTTGGCTTCTGCAGTCAGCCTTTGCCAAATAACGTGACTTTGTGATCTTGGGCTCAGGGGAAGAAAGAATCTTTCTTTCTTCTGCAGTGCATCCTTGTGTTTCTGCCCCGGATGAGGAGGCCCGTTCCCCCAGCCAGCCCGTGGAGGTGACCCTGCTCGGGGTCACTCGGGGGCCTCTCTAACGGCACATTGCCAGCACAGAATCCACAAAGACACTCAGTTTCTTTGGTCTCCTTTATTATCAGTCCCTTCCTTCCAGTCCTGCAGGCTCCTGGTGCCTGAGACTCCGTGCACCGCAGGTCACTACCCGGACTCGCAGTTCTAGGACAGAAACATTGCGACCGAGACCCCGCCCCCGCCGAGGTCATCGGTCCTTGACATGGTGAGCGCTGGAGGAGTGGGAGTTGCCATTGCCGTCAGTTGGCTCTTTTTTGTTGTTCTTATGATCTGAGCCCCAGTTTGGGGTTTTCATTATCCACGGTGACATTAGTAAAGATCATTAGTTTTAAGAGCTCAAGAAATCAAAGGTGTAAAAACAGTTTGATGTGACAGTCCCCTCAAATGAGTTTATGTTCCTGTTCTGTCTGTGAAGAGTAGAGAAAAGCATACCTCAGAGGTGAGAGATTAGAGAACCCTGCCCCTGATTCCTACAGGCGGGGAAGTCGAATTATCTCCATCACCTCCACCCCGTGAGCGGATGGACGGTCCCCAAACCCCGGCCGCCCGGGTAGTCACCCATCACGCCCTCGAGCAAGTTTACATCATCATGTTCCGGTGTTGGCTCTGCACTTGAAAGCACCAGGATGAGTAAGTGACATGAAGTGAAACCTACTTGAACACATTTGATAGATTATAGAAAATCATTCTGAAATGTCAAGTGTAATCTTTCTCTCCAGCTTTCAGTGGACATTAATGGCTAAATTTTGCCTCAAGTTACATAAACACATTTGACCAAAAGAAGGAAAAAAAAAAAAGCCATGGAGCACATACTCAAAGAGACAGAGCCAAATTCTGAGATGGTGTATAATTATGGACTACTTACCAGATTCTGAAATAGCATGTAATATGCCAAATAGATGTTTATTTCCTCTTGTGTTTTCAAAAGGGTCCCACCCAACCACCGAAAAGAGTAGCATCAAAATGCTTCAGGGTGGATTTAATCCACTTCTCCCGCTGCTAGCACACAGACCTATCAAGGCACTGCTAATTTGGTGCATACCAACCCTTAGTATATTTTAGGATGTAGCAGAAATAGTGTATCCAGGAGGTTTCTAAGGGCTTCAGTTTGAGCCCATTCATGAAAGGCAAGGCAAGTACAGAAGGAATATGTGGCAAATGTATGTGGCTTGGGAGTCAGGACTAGGTATCAGGCCTTACACTGCTTGTCATCTGGAAACAGGGAACCCCTAGTGTCTAAACAGCTCGCTGCACTGAGAGTGACAGAAATCTCAGAGATTTCTTCGGCCACAAATAACTGGCAAAGCTCATTGATGACCCAGGGTGTCAATATCCACCCAATGCAAAGTTGGCCTTAGTAAATTCTCTGCACACAGGTCATACATGGACCAAATTATTGAGGGGTCATTAAAGTCTGCAACTGAGTCTTAAACTTCAATGTTAAATCCCTTCTGGAACAAAGCAAGGGATAGATTAAATAATGTAAATAACTCATCACTGTTCCCTTCAAAGTAATTTCTGTCGGTTGCTATATACTTAATTCAATAATACTTAGAACATATTAAAGACAACCATATTTATTTTTTGCAGACCTTGTGGTGCGTGGTTTTGAAAATGCTCAGTGAGGGTGGATTTGACTTTTAGGATTATTTACAAGTCAGCTGGATCTAAGTCGAATAAACAGAGTTGGCGGTAAAGTTAGGTAATGCTGGCTCTCATCAAAGACAAAGCATTCGGTTCAGCATAGAGTCCACTTCTGCCCTTAAGAAGCTATAGTCCCGTTTGAGAGGAAGTCACACAAAAGACAATTTCAATACAATTTCGTAAACATGTGAAAGAGGTATGGAAAGGGTGTGCTGGAATCGGAATGATGGAAACGTTCTCAGGCCTGGTAGCAGTGATGGCTGCAGCTTTAGAAAGTTTACTGAAAGCTGTGAAATGATGCATTTATAACAGGTGAATTGTATGATGTGTAAATTGAACCTCAATACATTAATTTTTTAAAGAAGGGTGCTGTGAAAGTACCGAAGTTCCCTTTAGATCTAAACTAAAACTGCAGTCTTTACCACCCTGTCAAGAAGGAAAGAAGGGGGAAAAAGAGGTCGGAGAAGCGGTTAAGGCTTAGGCTGGTCTTGCTGTGGTTCTCGGGTCTCGGGCCCGCCTTTAGGTGAGGGAAGCGACAGAAGGGTTTCATGTATTCCAGGTGCAGAGTCGATTTCACATTTTAGATAGATTTCTAGAAAGCAATCTGCAAGATGGCAAGGCTGGGGGCCAGGGCACTGGTTATAAGGATGTTATAATCGTCTTGGAGAGAAACCATACAGGTCGGAACCGGAGTGCTGGCAATGGGACAGAAAAGAGGGCACAAGGCACAAGCTTTCAGGTGAACCTGGCAGGTCTTGGTAATTGGCGAGATGTGGATGGTGAGGGAGAGGAAGGGGTCAGGGAAGACTTAGGCCGCTGTCATCAGAGAGAGAAGACACAGGAGGATGGCAGGACGCATGGAGTGCCAGTGTGGACACGCTGAATTTGGGTCACTTACGTGACATCATGATGGAAATGTCCAACGCGGACGGTGGCCTGTGATTCTGACACTTAGAGAAGACTCAGGATTGCAAGCCATTAGTTTATGAGTGCTGGCTAAAAACACGGGAGGGGATGACATTGGTCACAGAGAAGGAAATCAGGCTGACAGAAACCTGGGGGAATTCTCATGTGAGGGGCAGAGAGGGGAATATGAGAGAAACAGGGCAAAGATCAGGAAACGTCAAGTGATGTCAGAAAGTCAAAGAAGTGAAGTAATGTTCAAGGAGAAAAGAGCAATAGTGTCAAGTGTAGATAAAACTTAAGAAAACAAAGACTATAAAGGTGTCCACTGGATCTGGCTGCTGACCTGAGCGAGAACAGTTTCAGGGATGGTGGGGTGCTGGCTGGGCTGCAGGGCGTAAGGAGGTGAATGGGAGGGGAGGAAGCAGAGAAGTGGAACTGACCGAGGGGCCATCTGGGCTGTGGCCGGGCTGTGGCTAGAGAAGACACCTGGTCCTCAGACGGCTTGCTTCTTTTGTTCTTAGTGTGGGAGAGACTTGAGCTTGTTTGTAGGCTGAGGTGGTTAGAAGAAGGGAAGTTTGATGAGAGGGCCATGGATGGAGAGAGGCTGGAGACAGAGGGGCAGGGACCAGCATCTCCGGCCAGGCACCGTCAGGGAGAGCGCCACTTGCCCCAAATTGGAGAGCTAGAGAGTGCGTAGCCTGGAATGGAAGGTGCCCCCGGCTTCCACTGCGGGCTCTTTGTGTCCTGTGTGTATAACACAGGAAGGGAAGTTCTTTGTTGAAAGCATGGGGATTGGAGGTTTGAAAAAGGTAGAAAAGCTTGAAATAGTGGCAATAACAGAGGGAGAGCTGATGCACATGTCGAAGTGAGTCGCCCTTCATGCCTTTCTTTGCCTCGCTGCCCTTCCATCCATCAGCAAGAAGTCTGTTCCGCTCCTACTTCCTGGGGGAGCGGGGGCGAGAGGGGGCACTTCTCAGCATCTCCACTCCTGTCTTGTTGGTCCAACCACCACAGTTTCTGTCCTAAATTTCTATCTTAGTTTCCTTACTAGTTTTTCTGCTGCTTTTCTCATCCCTTTCAGTTCTCCCTGACAAAGCAGCCAGAGTGATATTTAAAAAATATAAATCAGCTTGTACCTCTCCGCTACTTAAAATCATCCAATAATTCTCACTGTGATAAGAATAAACTCCAAATACCATGCTTTGTCCTGAGAGACTCAGGGTGACCTGGCCTACCTGCCTCCTCCACCTCATCATGTCCCGCATCCTCCCTCAGGCAGTGTGTTTCAGCCACTGCAGCCTTGCTTCCCGCCTCAGGACCCTTGCACGTGCTTTCTTTCTGCTAGGATGCTCTGGCTGGCTCTTTCCCATCATTGACCTCTATGACCAAATGTTACCTCACTTCCCTGCCTGTGTGAAGGAGCATCACCCCCACCCCATTACCTTTGTTTTATTCACCTCATTATATTTATCAGTAATTGAAACTATCTTACATATTCATTTACTTGTGTGTTTTGTTTGTTTCTCAATCCTGGAATAAGAACTCCAGGAGGGAAAGGACTTTGTTTAGAATGTAGTAGGTACTTAACATGTACAGATATTTATAAGGATGGAAAGTGGCCTTATTAAGGTCACTGGAAATGCAGCTGAGATTAGAAAATGAAACTACAGCATCTACAATCCATAAAGTTGTGTGACTTTTCTTCAGCAGAGACCATCAAATAATAAGATTGATTTTCTTATGTGCCTGTTCTGGAGATAATTTTAAACATGGGCCGTGTGGCAGAGGCATCTTTGTGAAAATTAGAAGGATTCCCAGCATGCCCAGTTCAGATGTTTATGCTCTTATTTCACAGAAATCCCTCAGTTTTATAATCTTGTAGGTAGGTTGGCAAGTTGTAGGAGGAAATCGCTGACTTCATCTCCGGCCCCTGAGCTAAGCTGTATTATACAGGTGAAATCAGGTTACCGAGATAGGTCTGGTTTCCTTGGCGACCTGGGAGGTTCAGTTATATTTGAAATTGCTGATAACAGCAGTTCTGGGTTTTCCTTAGGGCAGGAGTGCTTTCCCACCCTCAGCTGAGGCCTTGATTGGCGAGAATTGACCTCCAGCCAGTGGGATGAGTGACACTTCCTAACTGCTCCCAGAATTCCACACCCTGCCTGGCAAGTTTGTCCCATGCCAGCTCTGGGTAATCGTGTCCTGTCTCCTGAGGCTCCCCGTCTGTTTGGAGTTTGCATGTAAACACTGTAACTAGGGTGACAAATAGTTAGCTGATCGTAGAATGTGCTAACCACCTTTCTTCTGGCAGGATGACAGCTGGAAGGGCATGTTATTATATAAGTGGCAGGCTGACCCAGTTAACTCCTTAATGTCTTTTTTCTTGATGGCTCTTTTATCACATTTAAGCCCTGATGTTCATCTGCTGACAAGGTTTATGCTAAATATTTTTTAAATGTTCTCATTTCATTTTCATGACAATATTATCAAGTGGGTACTATTATTATTCCCATTTTACAGATTAGAAACTGAGACTCAGAAAGATAAAGTGGCCTTCTATGGTCACACAGCAAGTAAGTGATGGATTTTGGATTTTAGAAAGCGATTACTGCCTGTCATATACTGATACAGTATCCTGAGTTCTCTTATAATACTGTGAGTGAAGGCAGAAGATAATTCTTAATTTCTGCAATTACCTGATATTCGGAGTCCACTTTATGCTGCATGTCCCGCAGATACTGAACATCACTGATGAACTTCTGCCTGTCCTTTGCTTGATGCAACATGATTCTTAATCCCCGACCTGCATTTAAAAGATAAATAAATGCACCATAATATAATCCTTTGTGGCTTTGCCCTATTTGGATTTATTTTAGTATAATTGCTTTTATTCTCTTAATAATCTAATTTCCATTGTTTCAAAGGCACAGATGCTCCTTTCAGATGGAAAAGATTCTTTGTATTGGTGTCGATGGCCTTACTGCCCTCCTGTTCCAGGCATCAATAATGCAGTCACATTCATCAGCCACATTCATCGGGGATCCTGCTCTGGTTATTCAGAGGGAGTTAGATTGGCGGACACCTGACTTACGTTTAGCTAGGAGTCTAGCTAAATTAGCTATGGCCAAAGTTATGAGCCTCTGGTAACTTAAATTCATTTATTCAACAATTACTGCACCCCTATTCTAAGTCAGACACTCTGTGGGGCATGGGGTATAGCAGCCAGCCAGATGAACATGGCCCCTGCCTGTGTGTGCTTCCGGTCTAGGGTGGAAGACTGACATTGAACACTGCTGTACCCCAGCCGCCTCACACTCCACATGGTCTGCTCACAAACCTGCTCCTCTCGAAGAGTTTTTTGGCAGGGGAAGTTCACACTGACCAGGTAGCCGCTCGAGCTAGTAACCTCGGCAGCTTCCCTCACACTTCCCTTCCTACCACAACCATACAATCGCCAAGTCCTGATGACTTTCTCTCCTTGACTCCATCACAATTAGTGTGCATATACTGGTGTGAGACTGGGTTCAAATCCCAATTGTGTGAATACTGACAAGGGACCCCTCACTCTAATAAGTGCTGTGGAGTAGAAATAACGGGTTCTTTGAGAGAGAGTTATCATGGGAGGGTACAGCATGTCCTGCGAGGCAAGGCTTTCCTTAGGGAATGACACTGGGTTTGCAAAGCAGTGAGCTAGGCAAGAAGTGGGACAGCGAACATTTTGGACAGAAAGGGCAGCAGGTGCAGAAGCGTCAGGGCAGAAAGGGGCCGGAGTGTTCGAGGAGCAGGAGTTCAGTGCCGTGAGCAGAGAGCTGGGGAGAAGAGCAGCAGAAGGGCCGGAGGGCAGGCAGGGCAGGTTCATGCGCATCTGGGAGGCCAAGATGCCAAGAGCCATATAAAGCCACTGGAAGGTTCCAACCAGGGGAGCCACTGATTAGATTTGCATGTGTTTGTGCCTCCAGCTGCATGGAGAATAGATGGGGTTGGGGATAGAGAATAAAAACGGAAGTGGAAAAACCACTGGGAATATGTTTTAGTATCCAGGTAAGATGGTGACCAGCCTTGGGTGGCAACAGTGGAGAGAAGGGGAGGAGAAAAAGGACATCATAGCTACTAATTAGCCTCTTGGAAGTGCTAGACATTGTTCTAAACATTTACACGTATTAACTCATTCAGTCTTCATGACCTTGCTGCAAGGCCAGCACTGTATCTCTATTTATGGATGACGAAACTGAGGCACAAAGGGGTTAAGTTACTTGCCTAAGGTTACAGAGCTGTTCAGTGGAAGGGTTGGGATTTGAGCCCAGAGAGTCTCACACCAGCGCACACACCCTAATCGTGATGGACTCACGGGATACTCAGGAGGGAAAATCATCAGGACTTGGTGGTTATATGGATGGGGCAGGGAAGGGAAGTGTGCGGGAAGCTGCCCAGGTGTGGATAAAATGAGAGTTCCTGTGGCCAGGATTCTCACCGGGCCCTGGTTGACTAGCTCACTGCACACCTGTGGGCAATACATGGCTGTTGACTCTATATAAAGAGCTCTGCCCAGTGCTCTGGGTACAACATGGTGGCAGGGCTGTAAGGCTGCAGGAGAGCAGAGCAGAGGCTGGAGTGGTGGGAGCGCCGAGGACAGAGGCCCAGAGGACAGCTGTGCAGGACGGGTGTGCGGACAGAGGGCCCAGAGGCAGAGATCAGCTTGCTGCATGGAGACTCGCTCTGAGTGAATGGGATTTTAGTGACTGACCTGCCACCTGGAAATAAAGTTGGGTATAACCCTTTCGCCCCAAGAACGTTTTGCTGTCATTTTCTTTGGTCACATTGAATCCATGGCAGACTTGCCCGGGGCTGAAACCCATTGGCAAGACACCAGGTTACTGGCTGGCAGGTGTGAACATTCTTCAGAGAACTCTGGAGGAGGAATGGGTTGGTGAGGAAAATCCCAGGGAGTCTGAAGCAGCTGGGGTATAGCAAATGGATATGTCAAGGAAGCAATTAGACACAGAGCTCTGGAACTGATAAGAGAAGATTTGGACACTGCTCGCATTTTGGTGATAACTTAAGTTCAAGCCAGAATGGGTATTGGAAAGAGGATGACAACGAGGACAAAACTCCGAGGAGCACACATATTCGAGAACAGATAGCCAAAGAGAGAGTCTGCAAAGAAGCCAGAATGGCAAGAGGAAAACCAGGTGGGTGTAGTTTCACAGATGCTGAGAAGAGCGTGTTTCAAGGAGGTTATTAATAACCTTGGTGAGAGCATTTAGTGGAGTGACGGGGCTGGAGACAGATTGCTGTGAGTTGCATAAATGAGCGGTTAAGGAAGTGGAGACAATGCTTTTAAGAAGTTTGACTGATTAGTGTGGCCTAAATTTATGAGTGAAATATTTAAGTTCACGAAGTTAGGAAATGGCACAGTTCATAAAGAGGCTGCTTGACCTCATCTATGAGGTCATGAAGGCTCCCACACTACTCCTGCTTATTGGCCAGTGATGCTTTTTCATTTATTTCTACACACGTTTTTAAAAAAACTGAGATGTAATTGACATGTAACATTAGTTTCAGGTGTACAACATGATTCCATGCTTGTATATATTGAAAAATGATCACCACAATAAGTCTACTTAACAGCCATCACCACACAATTTTTTTTCTTCTTGTGATGAGAACTTTTAAGATCTCTCTTAGCAACTTTCAAATATATAGCATCATTAACGGTAGTCACCATGCTGTCCATTACATCCTCAGTCCTTATTTATAACTGGAAATGTGTGCTTTTTTGACCCCCTTCTCCCATTTTGCCCATTCTCTATCTCCCACCTCTGGCAACCACCAATCTGTTCTCTGTATGGCCTCTGTATCTGAGTTAGTTTTTGTTTTGTTTCGCGTGCTTTGTTTTTTTAGATTCCACATGAGTGAGATCATATGGTATTTGTCTTTCTCCGGCTGACTTATTTCACTTAGCATAAAGCCTTTAAGGTCCATCCATGTCGTCACAAGTGGCAAGATTTCCTTCTTTTATTAATTTCAGGTGTACAACATAGTGATTTCACAATTGCATCCATCTCAAAACACCACAGTAAGTGTAGTTACCGTGTGTCACCATACAAAGTTATAGCAGTATGACTATATTCCCTGTATCGTACTTTTTATTTCTGTGACTAATTTTATAATTGGAAGTTTGTGCCTCTTTATCCCCTTCACCTGTTTACCCTTTCCCCTAACAGCCGCTTCCCTGTGGCAACCACCAGTTCTCTGTATTTGAATCTGTTTTATTTTTTAGATTCTACGTATAAGTGAAATCACATGGCATTTATCTTTCTCTGACTTATTTCACTTAGCATAATATCCTCAAGGTTCATCCATGTTTGCAAATGGCCAAGATTTCATTATTGTTTATAGCTGAACATTGTCCATTGCATATATCTTGATCCATTCACCTATCAGTGCTTCCATATCTTGGCTATTGTAAGTAATGCTGTGATAAACATAGGGGTGCATGTATCTTTTTCAAGTAGTGATTTTGTTTTCTTCAGGTAAATTCCTAGAAGTGGAAATACTGAGTTGTAGATATTTCTATTTGTTAGTTTTTTGAGAAACTTCCATACTGCTTTCCATAGTGGCTGCCCCAGTTTGCAATCCCACCAGCAGTGTATGAGGGTTCTCTTTTCTCCACATCCTCACTGTATTTGTTATTTCTTGTGTTTTTGATATTAGTCATTCTGACTATGAGGTGATTACCTCATGGTGATTTTGATTTGCATTTGGCTGACTAGTGATACTGAGCATCTTTTCATGTGTCTGTTGGCCATCTGTATTTCTTTTTTGGAAAAACGTCTATTCAGTTCCTCTTCCCATTTTTCAATTGGGTTATTTTTTCAGTGTTGAGTTGTATGAGTTCTTTATATCTTTTGGATTTTAACCCCTTATCAGGTATATCATTTACAAATATAGTCTCCTATTCTGTGGGTTGCCTTTTCATTTTGTGGATGGTTTCCTTTGCTGTGCAGAAGCTTGTTATTTTGATATAGTCCCTTGTTTAGTTTTGCTTTTGTTTCCCTAGCTTGGGGAGACTTGTCCAGAGAAAAATCACTAAGGCTGATGTCCAAGAGTTTACTGCCTATGTTTTGTTTTAGGGGTTTTATAGTTTCGGGTCTTACATTTTGGTCTTTAATCCATTCCAAGTTGAAATTTTGTGTATGCTCTAAGACAGTGATCCAGTTTTGTTGTTCTGCATGTTATTTGTCCAGTTTTCCCAGCATGACCTATTGAAGAGACTGTCTTCGCTATTCTGTGTCCTTGCCTCCTTTGTCTGGATTAAATTGACCATATAAGCATGGGTTTATTTATTTGTTTCATTGATCTATGTTTCTGTTTTTGTGCCAGTACCATACTGTTTTGATTACTATAGCTTTTATAGTATAGCTTGAAATTAGGGAGCATGGTGTCTCCAGCTGTGTTCTTCTCTCCTACACACATTTTTTAATGACTACCATGTGAGAGGTACTGCTCTAGGCTCTGGAAAAACAGCAAGATGAGACAGACCACATCCTTGCCCTCAGGTGTCCACATTCTGTGGCTTTCCTTCCTTCCTTCATTTTTTTTCAGTTGTATAGACATTGGCAGAATCAGTTGCCCCTGACTCACGGTGTCCCAGTGTGGGCTGGTCACTATGAAATCTCACAAGGTTTATCTAACCCTGAGCAAATCTAGCAATTTATGCTCCTTCCTCATGGGTTATTTTCTTTTAAGTATAGAAAGTTGGTCTTTGAGAGTCACAATCTTAAACTACAACCCAGTAGGTAGTTCCAGAGACTACACACAAACCTAAATTTTGTCTCTGAGCATTTTAATAGTCATTTATGGAACTATAGTTTGAAAGAGATCACTTTCAACTTTTCATATGAATTTGTACCTGCACAGAATGAGGTTATGATCCCACTCTTTTCAGAAAACAGTTGTGTTAAAACAGGTAGAAAAATGAGCCCCTGCTGCTACTGTTAGAAAGAGAAGCCTGTCTGAATACTAATCAGGCAGAGAACATAAAGATTCATAATGAAAATATGTTAATGGTCACTAAAGGAGAATATCCCAGAGTCACTTGGATGAATCATTTTGGTTAAAAAGTTAACATAGAAAAGCCAGATAATCTATCCTGGCTCTAATAAGGTGTTATTTTAAGGAGACTTCTAAGTCAAGAGACATGACATAACTTTGTCTAAATTGGCAGGAAATAACACTATTTGAGTTATATGCTAGCTTACCTCTGACTTCACAATCATCTACCAAGTAAAGGACATTAAAATTGTCTACAAAGTCTCCCATAAAGTCTCCATTGCTGTACTTTACTATAGAATGAATATTTAGAAGCATCATGGTGCCACATGCAATTTCTTCTTTTAATACACCAATACTTTGTGAGATTAAACAAATACTACAGGCACCGAGGAAACGGATTATTAGGAGATTACCATAGTTTTGGCAAATATCCTCTGCATTTCTGGAGCATCACTTGAACTTCATACTGGGCTGCAGGTTTGAAAAACTGGCCAGGATGAAGAAAAAACAGATAACTGTATGGAAATAAATTCACATGAGATAGTGTTTCATTCGTGGATCTCAGGTTTGTGGGCCTGCTCAACCAGATGGCCAATTGAAGCCAAAACTTTTTCCTCGGCAAGAACAGACAGATGAGGGAGGGGGCAAGGAGGTGATCAGAAAATGTGGGCAAGCACGTATTTTAAAAATAGCATTCTGTATTCTCTTTTGTTTCTCACCTTTAAACAGCTTCTCAATTTACAATCTGCTCATGGTCATGCCCGCTTCTGTTTTAAGTCTCTGGTGATAATATATTGTGCCAATTTGTGCTGTAGAAATCAACACGAGACCACATTAAATTGGGAAAGGGAGAAGGAAAGAAGGGAGTAGGAGGCATGGGGGGAGGGGAGTCCTGCTTCGTGGAAAGCAAGAGCAAATGATTCTTCTTGGCTTCAAAATTCTACCTATCTGTGAAATTTCAATGAGGAATATTCTAAGAACTTTGTGACATATGTATTCCTCTCGAGTGTGAACTTCCAGTGAATTCAAACTGAATTTCTCTGACTAAGGAAGTACAGAATCTGTTTGCAGAATATATTTTTTTCAGTTCTCTGAAAAAATCATATATGTTGTCTTTCTGCTCTATGGCCACATCTATCAAAAGAAACTTATTTGATGGGAGTTCTTTTTAATAACAGTCAAGTCATCTTACCATTTTCTCACTATGTTCTTATATTAGAATATCATTAAAGTGAGTATTTTATTGGTTCAGCAATAAAGAGTAATGCAAATTTAAGTCTCTCTTTAGGCTGAAGCTCCTTTGGAACCAAAAATCTAAACGGCTATATATATTACCTGACAATTAGGTTTATAAATTCCCCATTTTCCACAATTAGATCCTTGGAAGAAGTTCAGGAAAACATATCCTTTTACACAGTTAACTAATAAAGATTACAGGATTTAAATCTAAGCTGTAAAAAAAAAAAAAGACCCTAGAGTTTTAAAATGGTAACATATGAAAACGACTTGAGTATAAGCAACCAAAATGAGTGATTTAGGCTTAATTGTCCTAACACTTCCACCGAAAGAATACTGTGACCCAAGAGAAAGAGGAGGAACGGGGAATGAGGATGGAGATGACTTGACTCTTCAAGCCGAGCGGCTGAGGAAATCAAGGAGTGGGGGTGCTGTAAAGGGCTTGTAAGAAATCTCTTTAGCGGTGACTCTTCATTTTATTGTGAAACTATGAAACAGATGGGCGGTCACACACGGACCGTCGAGCCCAGAAGACAGGGATTCAGAGTGCAATTGGGGAACTTTGGGGATGAGGGCGATGTCACAGGATGGACAAGCAATTCGATGCTCTCCACAGTAACAGTCAACAGTTTCGCCCCCAGAAGCCGTGGTCCGTGTACACCTACTTCGCACCTGCACTTCCGGGCAGTCTGCGGGGCAGGCAGGGGAGGTGCGGGGCGCCTGCCAGCGCGCAGGTGAGGATCCCAGCGTCTCCCAGCCCTGTCCCGGCGGCAGCTAGGAACCGGAGCTGCGGCCAGCCGGAAGGGACGAGCGCCGGGCCGCCAGGCTCCGGGCCCGATTTCCCTCCGGGCCCCTAGCAGCGGCCAGCGAGGCGGTCGCCCTACTTGCCGGCCGCCTCCGCGCAGGAGCGGCAGCCCGTCGCAACGGGGCGTGGCGGGCGGGCGGAGCCGGCCGTTACCTGGCGCGTCGGTCCTTTCCCCGCGGCAAGAGGCTCCCGGGCCGAGGGGCTGGGCGCGCGCGGGCTCCGGGGCGGGGGAGCCGCCATCGTCCGCGCAAGGCGCCGAGGCTCCTCCTCCGCTCGCTGTCCCCTCCCTCTGCCGACCCGCTTCCTCCTCCTCCGCCGAGGCCGTTTTTCGCGGCGGCGGCTGGGCTTTCCGGGAAGGAGGCGATGGGGCGGCTGCCCGGCGTCCTCCCGTTTCCTTGGTAACGCGGCCCGCGCGCGGGCTTGGGGGCGGGGCAGGGCGCGGGCCGGTTGCCGTGGGAACCAGGCGGGATGCGGTCGCCGAGGACAGCGGAGATGGCGGCGGGCGGAGAGGAAGTGCCGGAGGAGGAGGCGATTGGCTTTGTCTCGACGTCGGAGCCCAGACCCAGATGTCGGGGTCATCCTTCCTGCCCTGGATCAGGGCTGTGTTTTATAAAGGACGTGGTTAGGAAACCAGAGGGGAAAATACTTTTAATTGAATAAGATACTATTAAAGGCGACCTATGGGTAGAGGAAAGACAGCGCAGCCCTGGAGTTGAGCCAAGCAGAGCATCCCAGAAATGTCTGCTCCAGCGTAACAAGGAAGGAACAGATGACGAAGGGAGGCGCCCTGTCAGCGGCAGCACCGGGACCCGCGCACGGTTACCCCCCGGTTAGCAGTAAGCGTGGCTGCCTTTCCTCAGGAAGGAGGTTCCTAGAGGTTTAGCCCAGGGCCCCCAGATTTGAAAGGAGGAGTCAGAACCTGTGCTGGTCACACCTTTCTGCCTGGTTTGTTTCTGTCTATGACTTTCATAGGCAAAGATGACTTCCATTTATTTTGCACTCTTAGGCACTCAGTAATTTGCCAACTGATGTCAAATCAGGGCATTTTTGACTGGGTAGAGAATGGGGAAAAAGGAGAATGGAAATTCTTGGACCTTTCGCCAGCGCCCAGCGTGATGTGTCTGTGGTTTGGACGTCTTCTCAAGCCCCTAAACCCGGTTGGTGTCCAAGTCCCTTGCAGCTTGTCACCCTGCTTTTTATTATCAGCACCACCCTAGCATGGGGCTCCATGACCTCATGACTGGATTATTGTTTAGTATTATTGTGTATCCTAAACACACCGGGGACCCTGTCTTCCATACCCTCTCCCCGCCATTTATTCTGTAAGCAGCACAGGTTTAGTGTCTTTGGTCCCCTGCTAAGAAGCTCTCGCTGCCCGCGGAGTGAAGTCTGAACCCTCGGCCCCGGTTTTCCCTCTGCCCTCCCCCAGGGCTGCCGTCCTGCTTTTCTTCCTTCAGCACTTCTTCACTAGGGCCCGGCTCGGCAAGACAGTGGGATGCTCACTGAGCAGCCCTCGCAGACTTCACACCGACTCCTAAGGCATGTCCTGAGCTGGGCAGAATCCAGATAAAATGTACTTAGGTGCGGTCTTGGTGCGGGGCACTTGGTCATCCACCCTTCATAGGTCCTTCACCAGTTCTCCAGTACCTTTCCCTCTGGGGGCCCAACGCAGGTTCTGTTCTTGTTCTCAGCTGGCTCTCAGGGAATCCTTATCAAAGCATTAACTGATAAGTACTGACCTAAGAGCTCTCCCCAGGGTTTTGCCTCTCAAAAGGAGATCCTTAAACATGCAAAATCTTTAAGACACTGATTGAAACTATAACAGTGAAAAGATAGGTAGAGAACTTGTTCTGTTGAAGCTAGAGCTTCCCTCAAATAAAAGTAATTGTAATTATTAATGATAATTGTTAGTAATCATTAATGATTAACCGAGGAAGTAGTGGAAGCCCAGCTGAAATCGTTGAAGAGAAGTGGTGTGCCAAGGACGCAGGGGGAGCAGAAGGCCAGGGCTCAAGAGCAGGGCTCCCCGTGCCCCCTGCCCTGATGCTGCCTACTAGTAAAAAGCACCTTGGAACATACTGGACCCAGATATGTCCCCTTCCACTTGCACATCTGTAGAAAATAACACTACCTCGAAACATTGCTGTGGGGATTAAATGAGGACAAAACATTTACCACCATTCTTGGCACGTAGTAAGCACTCAATAATCAGTAGCTTAACATTCTGAGGCACATTTTAAGTTTTTATTTAATGCACATGAGGGTAAACCATGGATATTTTAAGATTTTCAAATAAGGTTTAGAGATGTCACTTCATATCTCAGTTTTAAACTCATTTCAAATATTTCTGAAAATTAAATTCCGCGAAAAGAATCATAGTGCCCTTGAAAGAGGGTGGGAGTGCTGGAGGTCAGCCTGTAAAAAGTTATTGAGCGACTCCAACTATAGTGTTTAAAGAGTAAACTTAAACTTGGCATGTACATAACAAGAATAGTTCTAGCATTCAAAAGCAAAGTGCTAAGTAAGAGAAATATTGAAGTGGGGAAGAAACACAATGGGAAAAGATTCTACTCATCATTATTCCTTGTAAAATGTCCCTGGTAGATAGAGATGTGGGTTCTAATGATTGAGATATTTGGTGTTTGCAAAAAAGCATTAAGTTTTTTAGTTTCTAAGAGTTCTGCAAAAGGCAAATTTTCAAGTATGAAATTTCAGAAGTAGACCATGGATTAAGTTTCAAAAGTATATTTTTGAAGGAAATATTTAATTCAGTGCAAAAAGTAAGGTCACCAGAGGGATAGCTATGTAGTCTAAGCCTCCCAAAATTTCTGGGACTGGGATACCCAAGAGCCCCCTGGAGGCCTGGGCCAGCTACTCACTTGATCTGGAACACCCCTTGCTCTCTTTGTCCACCTAATAGTTCCTCTTCCTGAAAGAGAATCTAACTAGGTCACTTTCTCGCTATCAGGAGCTCCCCTGATGAGCAGAAACCCAGTGGCCTCAGAAGCAGATGACCTGCCTCATATACAACACGCTTGTTTTTACCTTGATCGTCGCCATGACTGATGGGTTTCTGTTCTCATCAGTCGAGGCCAATGTGGTGATATTGCCTCCATTCAATGCACAAGCATGAGCCATGGAGGTTTCCAGGAAGAACCTCTAGGAGTGGCTTTCCTAAAATGGGGACTGTGGGCATGTGAGCTTTAAAGCTTCATGGAGTCTCCAGAACCCCATTGTACAGGGGATTCATCTGATTAATTTAAAAAACTGGCTAATGGCCTATTGACTATGCCATGGTGGGCTATTGGGACATTCTGCATTCATCCCATAGCTTTATTTGGTCAGACAGTGGGTGTGCAATGTGACAGTCTCTTAATGGTACTCATTAAAAGTGGCCTACATCGATGTCATTAAGATGGCTAGAGGGCTTGGTAGGCTGTGTCATAGTCTCTGGACTATGTGTACATTTTGATGAAGGTCACTGAAGACCCAGGATCGGGTCCTTCATTTTGTAGCATCAGAAATGCCGTTTTAGCTCATTCAGAGTGGATCTTTTTAGGAATTGATTCCCAATAATTCCATTCAGCAGAGACTAAATGTTCTCCACCAGAACACATTATTATTTTATTTCGAGAATAAAACTGGCAGTTGACCAGCCCTGGTCAGGTGCACAAGGGACTCCCTCCTGGTGGAAAAGGCAACCCCAGGAGATCAAATTAAAGATCAGAAGGTTTGGTGAATATTGAATTAGATCAAGAGGGACTTGAGTGTTCTTTAGGGATATCTCTAGTAGGCTGAGGAAGCCTTAAGGAATAACCTTCCTTCTCCCCAGAGGTGTTTCAGTATCGGTGACTGATTTGGATTCTCAACGCTCTTGGGGACTTTTACCACATCTTTGTTTGAGTTAACTGCCTTTTTGCTCAGCTTCATGAGACCATTTCTCTTCCACTTACGCCATTGTCAGCATAGTTTGGAATTGAGAAACCCTGTGTTACAATTCCTGGGGTGGCACTTGCTGTAGTATAGTGAACACCTTTCATACCCCTTCATACTTCCAGATCCTCAGAGTTAAAATGGGAATAGTCAGGGCCTCCTCACCACACCAGCTTGTGAGGATTAATGAAGTAGCAAATGAAAAGTCTCTGGCATTGTGCCTGCCACATAATAGCTGCTCAACAAATTTGCTATCATTATTTCCATTATATAGATTGAATTCTCCTTGCTGAGATCTGAAGACCTACCAAGGTACATCATTCAGAAATTTATAAAACATTTGACAAGCTTTGTTATTTCTTTTTTGTTTTATTTTATTAAAGTATCATTGATATACAATCTTACGATGGTTTCACATACACAACACAGTGGTTCAACATTCACCCACATTATCAAGTTTTCACCCCTTCCATTGTGGTCATTGTCTATCAATGTAGTAAGATGTTATAGAGTCATTAATTGTATTCTCCATGCTGTACTACTGTCCTTGTTACCTACCTATTTTGTGATTACAGATTATTTTATCCCTTAATCCCCTTCTCCATCCCCCACATCCCTCTCCTTTGGTAACCACTAAGTGTCCCTTCTTGAAGTCTATGAGTCTACTGCTATTTTCTTCCTTCTGATTTGCTTTGTTTTATACTCCACAAATGAGTGAAATCATTTGGTATTTGTCTTTCTCCACCTGGCTTATTTCATTGAGCATAATACCCTCTAGATCCATCCATGTTGTTGTAAATGGTAGGATTTCTTTTTTTATGGCTGAATAGTATTCCATTGTGTATATATACCACCTCTTCTTTATCCATTCATCTATTGATGGACACTTAGGTTGCTTCCATATCTTGGCTATTGTAAATAGTGCTGCAATAAACAGGGGTGCATGTGTCTTTCCGAATCAGGGCTCTTGTTTTCTTTGGGTAAATTCCTAGGAGTGGAATTACTGGGTCAAATGGTATTTCTAGTTTTAGTTTTTTTAGGAAACTCCGTATTGCTTTCCACAACGGCTGAACCAATTTACATTCCCACCAACAGTGTTGGAGTGTTCCCCTTTCTCTGCCTCCTTGATAGCATTTGTTGTTTCTTGTCTTTTGGACAGTGGCCATTCTAGCTGGTGTGAAATGATATCTCATTGCATTTTTTTTGTATCATTAATATACAATTACATGAGCAACATTGTGGTTACTAGATTCCCCCCATTATCAAGTCCCCACCATGTACCCCATTACAGTCACTGTCCATCAGCGT